ATATATATATATATTTGATATAATTATTAAAAAAATAATAAGCAAAATTATTAAAATTTCATTATAAATTGTACTAACGACTCGTGAAGTGTTTCAATAATTCTTCCTTGGTCCAATTGCAGGAAGTCAATACTAAATATCCTTCTGGCAAAAGAATGCGGTGTATATTTTCTACATATTTCTGTCGCTTCGCTGTCGGATCTTCCGGATTTAAACTAATAGCATCATAAGTGCCTTTATCGTGAACGACTTTAAAGTCGTCCGATAATGTATTATTGAGAATATCACAGACTTCTAATTTCACATTTGGTAAATTGTTATCGTTCAACACCATCCGGGCGAGATCTACCGCTTTCTGTGAATAATCTATTCCCATCAAGTTCGCAAATCCTTGTTTTGCGAGTTCCACCAAGATCATTGCATTACCGCATCCTATGTCGATTATCTTATCGCTTTCTCTGTTTAAATATAATTTCGTGGTGATCCATCTAGAAAACGATACCATTTGTTAATTTCAAAATTTGCGCATATACGTAATATTTTTTTTTTTCATTCACATTTTCGTCTTTTTATTTATTTTTAATATTTTTAGAAAAAAGCGTGGTATATATATATAAACAATATACTTTCATTATTTCAACAAAAACTAAGTTTTAATTATCTTTTCCAATCCATACATATTACACTCAAAAAAGTGGTATTGCAACTACAGCAAAAATTTTCTAGGTGCGCAAAATTAACTAAGGTACATAAATGATTAGTAAATACTGTGATATCGCATATGTTTCGCATTTAATCAATCTAAGTCACAGAGACAGAATTTATATCTGAACTGTTTGTGAAATTTAGAAAGAATGTTTTTCTGTGGCGCCTATCCATGTAAGGCCAATCATACTTGTTATAAAGTTTGACTGTGGTACACAGAAAAGATTAGCGGCAAGAAACAAATGAATATATAATCCTCACATCTAACATATTTGTATAACGCGCCCAATCTATCTAGCTCTTTTAAACAATTTCTCTCAATTTTTCGATGCTGCAGTTATAATTGGCAGTTATATTTCTCACAAAGAGTGTTCTAGCTGTAGTATCGAAACTCATATTTATCCAATGCAGTGATTAACATTTGGCAATGGGACCTAAATTTTCTAGAAGATATTAGAATATTGCTGCTATAAATTCTATATGTAACAGACAATATTCTAACAGATACAAAAAATAGCGATAAATTTTTGTTGTGACACCTAGAAATCTACCTATATCAGCAAGACATTTTTTTGAGTGTATATTATTATCATTATTCATTTATAACAAAAGGATCACCGCGCCAGTAGTCAAAATTTATGTGTTATATATTTTGTGAGTAAAATAATATAATATAATATAATAAATTTGTTTATCGAGACTGAATTTCACGCCGCGTTAATTGGAAAATCTGTTGATGCAAAGACAAAAGGCGCTTTTAGCGCGCTCTCGATAAATACGCGAAAGGATCCTTTTCTTATAACGAAGACGATCAAAATTGACACGATACCGCAAATAAAAAACGCGCTCGCCTCATTTCGCATAAAAATTCATTAATTTCTCATTAATATTCGCGCAATTTGCAGAAACAAGTTTTCTGTAATTGCTACGCGCGAGAGGACATTCGGATGTTACACCGCGCACGAGCGAACATAACTGTTTTTTTTTTTAAATTTCTCAAAACATCATTAATCTTAATGACAAGCGATCTTCACCTTACGCGGCTCGCGCTCTTCCTAATCGCGAGTACGCCAAGGCCCCCCCCAAAGGGGATATAATGCCGTTCATATTAAACTGTATCGAGTTGTTCGAAGAAAATTTTTAATTTCCTCCTCCTTGCGTTATATAAACCGGTTGTGCCGTTGCTAAACACTAAATGATACTGTGAATAAAATGCGTCAAAGGGGATATAATGCTGTTCATATTAACCTGTATCGAGTTGTTCGAAGAAAATTTTTAATTTCCTCCTCCTTGCGTTATATAAACCGGTTGTGCCGTTGCTAAACACTAAATGATACTGTGAATAAAATGCGCGGAACAAAGTAAGATTTTTAATCGTATGACCGATTCATTATTTCCGATCTCATTTCCCAGTCGAGGATTACGAACGTAAAGTGACGCAATGCAACGGGCGACGTAAGACGAGGATGAAAACGCGCGGCGAAACGCGATTCGCACGATATTTGGTCGGCCGGGTCGGCCAGGAAGAGCTGATGATGCTGCGCCACCACGAAGCTACCTCGAGGAGGATGGTAACCATCATCTTCGATCGTGTAATGGTGAAAACGGAGGACTCCCCTCGTGTCACGACCTAGCAATGGCGGAGAAGAAAGTCCTTGCTGCAGGTGCTTTCGTCGCCGATTCTGATAAATCGTCTTCGAACGTCGACGGGGAGGCAATTTCTTTCGGGATGAAAAGACGCTATTTACTGGCCGATTGTCAATTACACGATTCGCGTCGCTACGGCGAATTTACGAGCCGCTGGTTAACACTTCGCGCTTTATTCTGAGTGTGATCCTTGTTAAAATTAGATCCTGGAATGTCTAGTAAATATGCGACACACGAATAAGACGATTGACTTCGTTATATCAAAAAAAAATTAAAGACTTTGGAGTTATAATTCTTTACTTTTCCATTGTAATTGTATTATTATGAAAGAGAAAGAATTTCTGTGCAATTATATCTTGAAATTCTTCTCTTACGAAACTGCTTATATCGAGACGTATATATCTTTATTTAAATAAAATAAACTAATATTATGATTATATAATTACTTTTATCTGTGCTTAAATATCTTAAATAACTAAGCTTTTAAATATATAAATATATTTCCTGATTATATTTTTGAGAGATCATTTTTCACATACATATAGAAAATATAAAATTATATTTTTAAAAGGCAGCAGATTTTTACAATATCTACAGTAGAAAAAGCCATTGCTGCTGATACCAACGGAATGCAGTTACAAGAGAAGATAGTTTCGTAGATGGCGTTATGAGTAACGCGCGAGGAATTGCCTCGATCGCGTCGTGTTTACATTTTCGCGCGAAAGTCTATCGATTTTCCTTTGTGTTGTTTACTCGCGGTGTGTAAGACGCGTGTTCGCGGTTAGTCCATCTAGCTCGCTTACCGTACGACCTTGCGCGAGTTGGCGGTGCCGAACCATATCTCGCCCACGTCGCCGTGATCGCGGAAGTTGTCGAGTTCCTGGGCGTACGCGTTCTCCCAGCTGCAACAGATACGGAGGAGCGTCAAGCAAAAGCTGCGAGTAATGCACGATGAGCGTTGCGCGATCACGGTAGGTGTTACTTACAATTCGAGAGTGCCCAGATTCGATGGTGCCAATTCCTCGCTTTCTTGCTCTGTCATAATTTTATTGCGATTCTCTCGGCCTGATTGTCGAACGATAGTTCCGATACGATCAGATCTCGTCACGTCAGAATTCCACAGTTGTCATCAACTGGTTAATTACGTTGTTATAAGCAAAGAAGTGAGTTAATTCAGAATCAGATATATACAAAAGTTTAATAGATAATATTTATTAGTCGTGGACCGGTCCAACAAATTTCAACGTGGAAGCAAGACCATTTGTGTTGCTTCGAAATTTCATGGTTAGATGGCAGTGGCATCTAAAGAGCTTTATTTATTTGATTTAATATATGTGAAAATAAAGAAAAATATATATATATTTTTAATCTTTTATTATCGATAAAACCAATGTTTTTATTATTATAATGATTGTTATCAATCTAGGGAAATATTCTTTGTAGAACTGGCGCAACTTTAATTCCAACTGACACATTTACACCGCTTCTATTTGAATAGGATTGCATGCGCGAATATATTTGCGTGTGTGTGTCGAACCTAACCTTATCGACTGGAGTCGTCTAACGGTACTCGCTGTCATCGTGATAGTGCACGTTTTTTGTTAACTTACACATCACAATTTTAAACTTTTTGGCTTCTCAAGTGCTATTCATTGAGATATGAGTGTCAACAAGCTGTTAATAAATTTGTGTTTTGGTAAGTAAATAGACTAACTTAATTTTTATATCCTGTAACAACAATCAACTGATTGCAATATTGAGTAATGACAAGAGAATATTAATATTAACATAGATATAATGATAAGAGAATATTAATAGTAATATCGTATAAGTATCTCTATTTATATAACACTTATAAAATTGTTGGCTGCGATGTATATTGATATTAAAGTCAAAGTATTTTTTATTGTTTAAAATGACACAAGCAATACTAATTATTTTTTGATCTATATTGTTGTTTTTTAATATTATAAACCTTAATTTTATAAGATTTGTAAGTCTATGAAACAGAGCATCGCTATATATCAAGCTACAGAGTTTTCACATTCTTCGACTACAAATGGAGTAATTCTGTGCTTCAAATTTATTCTTGTTTTTATTGATCTTTGAGATTATTTACTTCTATACAATAATTAAATGAGACAGAATTCTATATAATAATAATATGGTATTTTATAGGACAACAATGTACAAAACTCTCTACTGTAACACGACGCTGCAAATCTAGCAAATGATGACAATATAAAACCAAAAACTGGCGTTCTAATGTTGAATATGGGTGGTCCTGCCAACATTGATCGGGTCCATGAATATTTATTAAGAATAATGACTGATCGTGATATGATTCAATTACCAATACAAAGGTTCTCTACATATATGTGATATAGTAGCGAGTATTGTATAAAAGAGATATCTTACAGAATTATATATTTTACAGTAAATTAGGTCCTTGGATAGCCAAACGTCGTACTCCAGAAGTACAAAAAAAATATTCTGAGATTGGTGGTGGATCACCAATTCTGCAGTGGACAAATAAGCAGGGCGAACTTTTATGTAAAAAATTAAATAAAATTTCGCCTGAAACTGCACCCCATAAACATTATGTTGCCTTTCGATATGCAGATCCTCTCACAGAGGATACTCTTGAGAGGATACGCAAGTATGATTTTATTATATTTTCTTAAATATATAACGTAAACATGCACAATATAAAAATATTAATATTGAAAGATAATTTGAATTAATTATGTATCTTTTATATTTACTTTTTCAGTGATGGAGTACAACATACTGTTATTTTTTCTCAGTATCCTCAATATAGTTGTTCAACTTCAGGTTCCAGTTTTAATGCTATATATAATTATTATAAAATTAGGTGATTGTTATTTTTCATTTACTTTTAGATAAGAATCGTAGAAAAATTAATACACAATCACAAATGCAGCACATATTGCACATAGTGTTTTATTGTATATGTATATTTATTCTATATTATACAGGATATATTTGAGATGTATGATTTGAATTATGTATTATTTTCATATATATATATATATATATGTGTTATATAGAAATAGAAATAAATAAGATAGAGGATAGAATGCACAAAAATAGATGTGTATATAAAACAGATAGAAATTACATCTTTGCAGAGAGTTGCCAAGTGAGATGAAATGGAGTATAATAGATAGATGGGCCACACATCCGCTCCTTGTAAAAACTTTTGCTGAAAGAATTAAACATGAGCTTGCACAATTTCCTAGCGAAAAAAGAAACGACGTTATAATTTTATTTTCAGCTCATTCATTGCCATTGCAGGTTTTAATCATTTTTAACATAATATATATTAACTTTTGTGATCCTTTAGAAATTAGTTTTGACTAGTGTTTTTTTAATAATTACTAGGTTGTAAATAGAGGGGATTCTTATCCCGCGGAAGTTGGAGCTACGGTAGCATTAGTCATGCAGGAACTAAATTATTGTAATCCATACAGTTTGGTATGGCAATCGAAGGTATATACATGTAAATATATATGTTGTAATGTATATGTAATATGTTTAAAATTTAATGAAGCTTAGAAGAAATATTTCGTTCGATGTATTATGTATTATGAAATATAATATATATATTTAGGTTGGACCGACGGCGTGGCTGGGGCCTTTTACCGATGAAGCGTTAAAAGGCTATGTTAAACAAGGCAAGAAAAATTTTATTTTGGTACCTATTGCATTTGTAAACGAACATATTGAAACCCTCCACGAATTGGACATAGAATATTGTCAAGAACTTGCCCAGGAAGTAAGAAGCGCTCTCATATTTTACTGTTTATTTAGTATAACGAACAAGAGTATTTTATATTTAATCTTTTTAGCTTGGTATCGAGGAGATACGAAGGGCTGCGGCTCCTAACGATCACCCTATTTTCATCGACGCTTTGACGGACATTGTTGCTTCTCATCTTAAATCGCAACAACCTATAAATCCTAAATTTTTAACGCGATGTCCGCATTGCGTAAATTTAAATTGTGAAGCTAGTAAAAGCTGGTATGCTAAGATATGTAAAAAGATGTAAAACTTCATAACTATTGCGATATTGAAAGTATACATATAAATATTTTTTTTATACATATAAATATTCTTTTTTTAAAGATACGATTAATTATGCAATCTGTTACATATATGTATATATATATATAAAGTTATATAATGTTACATGTTACATAAAAGAATGTTAATAATTGTATGAAAAATTGAACACAGGATATACGAATTATACATATATTTATATATATTTTGTAAATACTGTATATATATATATATTTAATAATATTGATTAAATCACATAATATTCCTTATATTTTGTTGTATAACCTTCGTAAATTTCCTTAGCAATCCATCTCAAAAATCAATTATTAATTCGTTAAAATATTTCGTCACTTTCGACATCATAATCTAAGAAAACGTGATATTCTCAGCTCTTAAATAAATATAATATCTAGCTCATATCAATATAATATCTATAGTTTTCTTATGAATTTGTATATATTCTGTCCGAGTTTAGTGCATTTCAACTCTTTCCACGAGGTTATACCACGATTACATTAAATGCATCGACGATTTCGATGTTAAACTTAGCCTTGGAGGCTTTTACTTGAAACAATTTCATGGCAATCAGACCGTAGAGATCGTACCCATTGCTATAGATATAGACAAACAGTTATTGCACATTTTACATGTAAGCTCGATAATTTTATAACCATAACACAATCGCTCGTATAAAATGCTTAATTTTGCAAACATTTTATTATATCTTGTTTACAATTTTGCAACAGTTTTAAAAGATATTTGCTCTATGTTTTTCTCATATTTATTTGTTCACTATTTGTTTAACAAGAGTCAATAAATCCGTATTAAATTGAAGCTTTTCTCTCAGTACATCGTATAAGAATCTTTCCATTTCTTTTTAGGTTTTTCACGACGAAGGGTTTATCCCAGCATCATCATCGTCGTCGTCGTCGAAGTGCAGCCTCCGTCGCGGCCGCCGCCGTCGTCGTCGCGCTCGTGATATCGAACGTGAGTCGTGCGGCGCTGCTGCCTGCCGTCGCTATATAAATGCGCGGCGCCGGCGGGCGCGCTCAGTATGTGTCATGCGTTGCGAGTGCGAACATCGCCCGTGATGGCGGCTAGAGTGCGGTTGAAGATTCGTCGCGGCATCGGCGTATCACCGATCGTCGTTCTGCTTGCTGTGTGCGCTATGTCGAGTCTTGTGAGTGGGATGTTCGAGCATCGACACTGCGATCACCAGCATCCACGAGCGCACGAGGTAAGTGTATCCACGAGCATTGCGAAGGGCGATTCTAACCTCTCTTTACTTTATACATCGACTCTGATTATCGCCGCCGTTTTTCTTCCTTCGCGCAAAATATGTATGTCAATGTATTCCGTGAATGTGATATTTCGCGATCGTTTCTCGTTTTTCAGATACTTATTAATATTTCGACCTTTGTCATCGCTTGTTTCTCTTTTCTTTTATCGTTAACGAGTTTTTAATCTTGTCGAAGAGAATGTTTACTAAACGCGACGAGTTCAGTTGCTATCATTTGCGATGATATTCGTGTGAGAAAGCGTGCAAGCGATCACTATGTAAATATGCGCGAGAGAAATGAAACGATCATGTTCGCTTACATCGCGTGCCGGATCCAATACATTTGCACGTGTCTCCATATGGATTCATCGCGTTAATATCAACTCAACGTTTCAGCGCGTTCTCTCTACTATCTTTTATAGAATCTCGTAATATTTCGATATTAATAATAATCTAAATAAATAAATAAATCTAGTGTGTGTGCAATGTTGTGTGTAGACTTGTTATGATTTATCAATTCTCGTAGTTACGAGTTTTTGAGACGTGGAATCGCCCTGTAATTTACTAATGTTTATAGTATTAAATTGTGTGTATATTTGATTCTCCAATTTTTGCGATACTGTCATCTTTTACTGGCACACGACTTTGGTGAATGTTTTCATGCGCGGTAGAAGGAGGGAGAAACACGTGTTTTCGCGGCAGACACGTGCTGCTGTGGAATGTCTCGCCGTCTGACCTCTAATAGTTCGCGCGTCACGTTTTATGAACAATCGCGCGCGATCTTGTTAATGTTCACATTTATATTTAGTATTTTAAATATATATATATATATATTTTATACACAATCATTAAAATAAATTTATGAATTACATTAATATTCTTTCTTTGATCTTCATTTTGTTTAATCCTGCGTTGCAATTGATATGTGATAAAAAATTCAAAAAATATATCGCGTGCGCGAACGGGATATAAAATTATTAATATGTAATATTGAAGGGAGAATAAAAATTAAGATTTAATTTACGAACAATATACAAACGTTTCAGCGTAGCGGGTTATCATTATAGATTATATTACATCGTTGCAGGAGTAAGATAATTATACTGAATATATATTTTAAGAGAGAGATCTCTCAATGCACTTGTATATTTTGTCACTGGTTTACGTATTTTGTATATCAGTTGTCTGTACTGTCATTTCAAAGGGAAATGGAATTATATTTAAATCAGATTTGTTGTGTAAGAGAGATAAAGAATAATTTTAAAAAATTTCTCGTTAAATGTCTTCGTACATTTTGAATTTTATTGACATTTGATGCTCGATGAATAATGTAATAATTATGCCATTGATGAACATTAATTATTATAGTTATAAATATTAATTGTTACTCAACATCACGAATATCTATTGATTTATAAAGTATCATATTATTTAACGTCACAATTTATTGCTACCGAATAAAATTATCGAGGCAGTAATAGTTTGTATTATAAACATTTAAAAATGAAAAATTTTCTTTATTCTGGCATTTAATTTAGTTATCAAACTGAATCCTCTAGTTAATTTTAAGAAGTATATTCTATTCTAATTATGAATTTTAATTAGAGAGGCTATGTGTTACATAATAATAATTTTGGATAATATTGAAAAAATTTCTTATCAAATTTTTGTAAATGAGAAATTAATTCTGTTTTGATCAAAAATTCTATAAATGGGAAAAAAAAGAAGAAAAAAAAAACGAGACCGATGGGACATGCGGGACTATATCGAAGAGCTTGTGTTGTTTACTAGAAACTGTAGTAATTTTGTGTCAATTTTAATTTTATTTTTTTCTAACGCGGACTATTTTTTGTATGACAGAAAACAATCAACAGCCGGCACAAGTTTTGAATTCGCCGGTGAACAGACAAGCCGTCATTTCCAATTTGATCTTTTTTTTTGTTTTTAAAAAAATGGAATCAATTTGCAGGATTAGAATAGCTAGTGTGCAGATGATTCTCTATTCATGGAATGAAGTAACTTGATTGACTTTTTTCGGTTACATTTGACGTTGATGTAGCTAAAAATGTTTTTAGAGATTAAGCGCATCGGGTTTCCTAATCTCACAATCAAGCAATTCGTGGTGAAGTTGAGATAAACTTTCTCTCACACAGAAATAAATTTTTTAAACTATCAGATATTATCTACAATATCAAGCGTTTTGAAGCTGAGTTTTTATGTTTATGGTTAGTGTGATATATTTTTCATGAAGCGTTTAACATATGGCAATTACTTTTTTAATCCATAATGTAAGAATAATTTTATATGTCATTTTATAAAAACATATTTTTGGGGGGAATTAGTTTGTTTTTTTACACTGAAAAAATAGTTTTTTTTCCATATATATATATAATTGGATAAAAAATCAGAATATTTTGATGGCACAATGTTGTGCCTCCGGCAACTTTAGTGTTTTAGCGCTCTGACGATTCTATATAACATGTATTATATAAAAATTTAGGTATTATTCGAATAAAAAATTTTTAACATTTAATTTTTTTAATTGGAAGAAAAAAAAGGCGTACTGGAAACGAAATAACCTGTCGTATATGTTATATATGTTATATTGTTATCAATTCTGAAATCCTCATAATAGTACATTAAATAAACAATCGTAGTCAATAAATCAATTTTTCCCTTCATCCGTATAATTAGAATTTACATTTGTCATGCAAAACTTGTGTCCCACGTTATACAAATTAGCTTTTCTAAGTAGATAAGTTATTGCATCTAGTCGAAGTATATGGTAGCGTTTTTTACGTGAATGTATTCGCTTTAAGAACCATTTCAAAGAGAATTTGAATGCCAATTTAAAAGTTTACTTATGGTCGACATAGCGTCCGGCTCGCGCCACCGCTCGTGTTTGTCCTCTTGACATTTCGTACCAGGTTCGCAAAACTTTTCTATCCGACGATTTCGCCGTCGTCGCGTACTGATCTCGCATTCTTTTAAAGATATAATTCACATTTCGTTACGGTCGTCCTTTTATTCCGTAAGGAGCCCGGCGATAAAGAAGGTTGAATTACGCGTTCATCCACTTGGCAACCAGCCAGCTGTTTACCCCTTACTCTTTCTTTTTCGGCAATCTAATAATACGCGAATCGATATTATATGCAGTGTGAATTTATGTTTCTGTAAATCTTTTCCTGCAGGAAAAATAGCTTTCTTCTTGCTACCGGAGAAAATTGCGAGGATAATCGTGTAATGAAAACTCGACACTTCTCGCGGTGAAAACGAGTTACGAGATATTACGCACGTAATTATCTCTTCTATCGTAATTATCTATCTATATCCTTTCCTCTGCGTAAATTACATAATTTATAATTATAAGTTCTTTTTTTGAAAAACGAGAGACTTTAATTTTTAGATTATACGACGAAAATTAATCACATGGGATTAAAATGAATCAGAACGTATGAGATCGTCGTGTCACGATATAGATCTGTTTCTCGTAATAGAATTGCAGTCATAATATCTATAAAAGAGATAATTACGCGCGTAATATCTCGTAACCCGTTTTCATCGGGAGAAGTGTCGAGTTTTCATTACGATTATCCTCATAATTTCCTCCGGTAGCAAGAAGAACGTGCGGCGCGCAAGTGTCAAGTTTTCATTACGATTATCGGAAGTACTTCGTGCTCTCTTGCAGTCGTGGCGAGAATAAAAGTAAAACGTAGGTCGCACGATTCCGTAGGAAAAACTTTCTTACGAGCGCTTCAATGAAAGTGTACGGGA